CTAAAGTAGACACACACCTACAGAAACATCCACTTGTGGGCTGGATGGAGATTTTAGCTTTAGTTTAGCACTAACAAAGAAAGTAGGTTACTGTTGCACCATTTTCCGCAAGACAGCCAATTATTTTCCCATTACATGCACAACACACTCTGTAATTTCCAGTGTGTGTTCAAACCATCAAATCACACATAATCATCTCCACTACCTCCGTGTCCCTCTCAGGTTCGGTAGAGGGGCTCACCGAAATCCGGCGCGCGGCGGGTCGGGGAGAGAATTCACCTGCCATGTGATGTTTGGTGGCCCGTGCTAATGATCGCTGTTCCTCGATGAGCCTTGACCCTGGACCGCACCGCATAATTAGCTTTTCCATCAGCTTTTCTGCCGCGTCCAGCGACCTTGTGGGTGAACCATTGTTTACTGACAGCTATAGTTCCTCCTGTCTAGCTCTTTCGCTGTCATTCGTTTGTGAATTGGGTGTCGAGTGCAGCGCTGGAGATTGGAGGTGAAAGCCATGCTGTTCGACGATGATTCACAAAGCCTTGCTGCGCTGCGATTCGATCGCAATTCCCATATTATATACACACTAACCTGTATAATGTGGAGCACATTCAGTTATATTATTCAAAGACTTTTTTTTTTATTCTGACTGCTGTCAGGTTTATCATTGCTAATTAGCAGAGGAAGGTTTTGTGCTAGTTTAGCACTGGTTTTTGCTGTTGTTTAAAACAATCATAATACATTCATTTTTATATCTTACTAAAAATCGCTTTGTGTGTATTTGAATGCACACAAAATCCAGCTAATTACTTTTGCTATTAATAACATTTTGGAAAAAATTAATATTGTGTGTGTGTGTTTGTGTGTTTTTAAAAAGTCAAAATGTAAATTGTTACATTTGTGCAGGTATGCATTACGTTTTAGCATTATTAATTACCTAAATCATCAGAAAAATACATGGAATTTGCAAAATATTTGGAATGGCTTTATATTATGAAATGTTTTTTTTTTTTTTTTGCATGTCATATATAATTCACATTGTAAAGTACTATGGGTTTTTAATAGCTTTTTAGCGATTAAAATTGCATTTAGCCATTTTTTTTT